TTTTATCCCGCACGGTTCGCTTCCCCTCTTTTTCGCCCGTATTTCGATCCCCACTACTATTCCCCTCATGCGTGCTCATGCGCGTTCGCGAAGCTCTCCGCAGCGTTATGGTCCCCACCATGGTCGCGTCGTCCCCACTTTCCGGCCGTGGGTAAAAATATCTCATCGGAACGCTGCCCCTGGCCCTGCCTGCCAGTTGCAGCTTAACCGCCGCACTAGCAAGTCAAAACAGTAACCTTAGCACTTCACGACGTTGTACTTGGAAGTTAATGCAACAATTTTAACTTAGAGCTGTGAGTCCATTTATTTGTGTGTGCATCCTAATCCACATCAGCTACACAATATCACCTTAGCTCGTAGTCCGAGGCAGAGTCAAAACAGACTCAAATCTTCGAATCAAAGTTATAGCTCTCTTAACCCAGCCGCCACGAATGTATTCAGCACTCATACACCTAGAACAAATAGAGCTATATTTTCATTATTCATAATGATATTTTTTATTTTAAAGATATGTACACCTTGTGATACTCCAGAATATATATAAAAGCTACAGTCCAAATTTCGATGCAAATACTTCAGTCGTCTTCGAGATTTTTCTCGAACATGGAAAAATACATTTTATCTTTAAGTAAAATGAAGGATAATTTCCTGGAAAGTAAGATCTTTAACTTCGTTAGTCGCATGTATAACACTTAGCAGCTAACGAATTTTCTGTAGTAACGAGTGCGACGCGAGAGGTGAGGACAGAAAGGAAATACACCACCATCGGTTGCGCCACGGTATGGGCAGACTGGATCTGCAATTAAGCCTATAAGTTATTTACGGTATTTGAAATTACATCTCGCGATGTTTGTCTGAGTAATTTAGTCCGGGACGGAAGCACTGCGCGTCCAGTTTTTATCGCCGAATTTTCTACAGAATTTGTACGCCAAGAATCTCCATTTTCAAGCTTCAGCTATTTATTTATTATATTTATTCTTGTCATTTTATTAGTACGTAAACGTATTCAAAGAACGTGTTGAAAATATTTCACGCGGTTTGTATATTTAGAAACTCGGCTTATCGACTGCAGGCATTTGGAGAGTATTAAAATTCAAATGGATCCTCGAGGCACGAATTTCTTTCGAACAGGATGAAGAAGGAAAATACATGTATAACATGAAGAGTAATGAATAACATTGCCTCTGAGTCAGAATTTTAAACAATCACTCCATTCTTTATAATCGACACCGTACGAAACAATCGCCATCGAATATAAAACCGTTCACAGATTCGGATTACCGGAAACTGGTCAGCTTCAGATGTTCATTAATTCGCCGATTTCTTCTTTTTCGTTTTTTTCTTAATTTGCTAACCTAGGTCGATGAAATGGTTCATTGTTTGCAAAGAAAAAGGAAAAAAAAAATTTGTAAAGCATGATCAAACCCTACTTTGATTTATGAGTAATTCATGGTACTATAAAAAGAGAATGACAGAACTCACTGCTTCAAACTTCATAAGTACGTGATTCTAAAGAATTGTTAGCTAATACCGTAAAATGTTTAAGAGGCTATACCAATGCGAAACTTAAAAAAAAATCGATCTTTTTATGGCAATTTTCGAAAGTTTATACCTTCAAAAGTATAATATCATACTAAAATTTCAAGGTTGGATCTCAACTAGTTTTCGAGTGGCTGCTTTCTAATAGTATTAATATAATCTGGATAATACCATAATGGTTAAAACTTTAAACGCGTTTTTCTCAAAACGGTATTTATCAAATTTACTGACATTCTAACTCAAAGACCAATTATCCGATTAACTTGAAATTTTAACAGTGTTCTGGACATGCTGTATTGTCCGATGTCGTAGGATATTCTTGATTGGATAAGAACTGTAATTTTGGCAACAAAAAAAACAATTTTTTTAAGGAAAAATCGAAAAATTTTCAGATTTCGACATTTCTCGGATATCCTACGTCATTGGACGGAGAATACCTTCTAGTTTTTTCATTTCAGGCACCCAACCGAACTGTATGAGGTCAGCAGTTGAGGCACTTTCTTTTGGCGTCTCGGGAGATAGTGCATAACTTGGTCGACTTTAGTTATTTTTTTACGAAAAAATTATTTTACACAGTTCATTTATAAGAAAATACCTCCATAAAGTGTAAAAAAAATTCCATAGAATACTTCTCTCAAAAAAAATTCCCAAAAATGACCTAAATTTTAAGCGGTCACTCTGGCAAGACCCCTTAAATAGAGATTTCCTATACGAACTTTAATGGTTATCGCAACTTTTTACTGATTTATCTTATTGAATCGTGGAAGCTTCAAGTTCAACAATTCCTCAATGACATAGTAAATTTATTGCATGATACGAAATTTTGGCCACTCTAATAATGTACTAAAGACACATCGATAGGGGAAACCGGATGTGATTGTCACAAACGTTATATTACATAAACAATAAATGGTAAGAATTTATTATCAGCTCAGATTACGTGTAGACGTACTGCCATTTCATTTCAGGAATTGTAGTTCGATACGAAATTCCAGACACTTTATTCTTTATTTTTGTGCATTCAAAGTAAAACCGATTACTTTTTTTCAAATAAGTACATTGTATAAATATGTATATTTGTTTCTTAACACGTTGAATGCCACGCCAATTTTAGAGGGATTGTCCGTGGCGCCACGATGAATTTTCTATTATGCGATACATATAATGTTGAAATATTATCTGCAATAGATAAGTTACAGTGTATAACAATGTTTGACATATTAATTGCGACGGGATCACCGGTGACCCCTGTGGCATTCAACGTGTTAACATCCTACTATACCTTAGTATTCCTTACTTGATCTTTTATTGCTTTTATTGCTTTTTTTATAGCTTTTATAAAATTCATAGATAGGTTACGTAATTTAACAAAAGATTGTCAAAGCATATTAAGAGTTATTTGTCACATTGAAAAATTGTCAATTGTGGGCACATGAAGCTTTTATGTACAGTTTTTTCATTTTCTTATTAACTTTTTATGTACATACAAAAGCCCTGCAAGAAACCGATTTCCATTTGTTTCTTAATTTGAAAGTGTGTATTGTATTCATTTATATTGCAATTAGATTAAAGATATTGGAAATGGGTAGATAAATAAAATATGAACGCAGTGAATTAAATTTAATTTTTTTCTTTATTATTTGTCACACACGAGGAAGGACCGTCTTTACTCTCCAGATTGCTCCAGGAAACTGAGGAATAGATTACGAAGTCTAAATCAAACCGTCACCCGACGACAGAGGGATATCGGTTCTGCGTACCATGAAACATTGTTTATGTTTGACATCTGGACTATGTCCTCTGGATCATTTTTGATAACATTGTATATTTGAAGTTAAATAATCCAACAAAAAATATAGACAGTGTACAAGTGAAGAAAATAATAAACGCCCTTCAACCATTCATTCATTTAACAAAGACTGATACAATTAAGACACTACATGTATGCTGTTTCAAATAAAATGTTGAATAAAACCTACAAAATATATATCATATCATCGACAGCTAAGAATAAAAAGTATTTACTTCTTTGTATTTAGAATATTTATTTTTAATGAAATATTTTTGTTATAAATTCCTTAAGAAAAAAAGTTCTCACATGATGCAGATGAACGTAGTTTGTTGCTTCGGATCACGATTGTAGAACAAGTTTATTCGTAGTGCAAATTATGGACAGTCAAGTACAGACGATGTATAAAAGAATTATTCAGGCACCTTTGCGCGTACAGACACTCAGTAATGGTTCTTCAAGAAGAAGACGTTACAGAAGACAGGAGCGTGATTGCATAAGGTGTTTATGACTCATGTTGTTATGTCACTAATAAAGTCAAAACACCTCCTTACTTTGACTGTATTAATTGAGCGCGTAGATTTAAATTGTATTCTAACAACAATTTTATATGATGTGTATTTTGAAATTTCGTTTCTTGTTGAGGGATACACAATGCAGTTCTCGCAATGTTTTTCTCAAATACGCTTAAATCTTTTACTGCCCGTTGACTATTTTTCTTATAAAACCAGAAGAAGGTAATTTATATTAGGCTTGTAAAAACACTGAAATTTCTTGTGACATAACCGAAAATAATGTGACATATCTGATCTCTTCTACATTATGCAGGCGTGCCACGAATTCTTCTTACGGAGGAATCTTGGCGATGGTTGGTTAAACTGCGACTGGGATCGATACGATCTTTCGGCGGATTACCTACCCTTTTGGTCCGCGCGGCTCCAGAGTACGGCTACTCTCACTCTTTCCCTAGCTTCCACTAAATCCTGTTATCGGCGTGTCACGCCGCGTTATCGGAGCGATTGTGCAGCCTCGAAAGCCACGTCGCGGGATAGATTGCTATGGCTCGTAGCGGCCTAACTTTCAGTCCAGCCCAGTCCAGCATGAATCACGGCTTATGTCACGCTGAATCCAATTTCCAAAGCGAACAAGTATCGCCGTATAGAAATAATGATCCAGACAACCACCGCGAGTTGCCAAAGAGATACACCGTATCGGGTCGCGAATATTGATTTGCGGTGCGCGTGGTTTACTTCGGGAATTCTGTACGCTTCGAACGGAAACAGGTAGGACAGGTGGCTGACGAAGAACTACATATCGATGAAGATTGATCTAACTTGGAGATATCGATATTTTGTTAGAAACGTCCACATCGGACTTTAAGTGAGTCGGTATGCAATCTCTATAGGGTTTTGGATTTCAACGCCGTAGAGAAAAATGAGAAGTGGATTCACAATCAGTGGCCTAGCTAGAAATATAAATATGACAGTAAATAAAATTGTAATACAACATCAAATGTATAATAAAATAATAAGAGA